TGCAGGGCCATCGCCATCGCGCCGCCTGCTCGGGCAGGGCACGGGCACGAGGCAGCAAACCGCCCCCGTTTCCAACAGCTCCAGCAACCAGCTGCCCAGGAGCGCGGAGAACCTCGCCGAGATCGCGGCCCAGGCAGCCGCCGAGGGCTCGGTGGGCGGCGGTTGCGGAGGCTCAGGAGCGGCCGCCCGCACTCTGAGCACCTCGGTGAGCTCCGCGACGCGGGCCTCGAGCAAGTCGAGGCGGGCGCTCGCCTTCTCGCACGCGGCGCCGGCCTCGCCCGAGGCGGCCTCCGCCCGCTCCGCCGCGTCCGCGGCCCCCAAGGCAGCAGCAGCGGCGTCCGCCGGCTCGCCAAGCTTGGCGGGGCGGCTCGGCTCTGCCTGCGGGGCCGATCGCAATCCAACCCAGTAGAGGTTCGAGAGTGCACAGAGCACCGCGAGAACGGAGGCCTGGGAATGTAGCTGCATACGCTTGACCCAGAGAGACTATGGAAAATGTGACGCCGCAGAGTTGTCTGGAAACCTGCGTCCAACATTCGTGAGAATCTCTCAGCCCCAGCTGCAAACCGAGCCCGCTCTATTATAATCATCATCATCATCATCATCATCATCATCATCATCATCATCATCATCATCATCAGCAGCATCGTAAAATCATCATCGGCATCATCACCAGCATCGAAACATCATCCTCATCACCACCATCATCATGTTGATCATCATCATCACCTCACCATCACCACCATCATCATCACCATCACTGCCATCATCATCACCATCATCCTCATCCTCATGATCATCATAAACATCATCATCATCATCAGCATCATCATCACCAGCATCATCATCATCATCATCATCATCAACACCATCATCATCAGCATCAACATCACTAGCATCATCATCATCATCATCATCATCATCATCATCATCATCCTCATCCTCGTCCTCGTCCTCGTCATCCTCCTCCTCCTCCTCATCATCATCATCATCCAACCCCTCCTCCTCCAACTCCTCGTCCTCCTGCTCCTCATCCTCTTACTCCTCCTTCTCCTCCTCCTCTCGTCCTCCTACTCCTCATGTTCTCCTCCTCCTCCGACTCTCCCCGTTTATGTCCCCCCTCTCCCACGCCCGTGCCACCTTCATCCCCCTGCACGCCTAACCCTATACCCCTGACGGTCATGAAGATGGGGATGATCAAGCTCGGGGTCCAATAAGGATACACGTCGGTCGGAAGAAGTAGGTGGAACCATTATCCCAGTGCGACCCTACCTCGGAGTTGGAGCATCTAGGAAAGCAACATCTACATCTACACCGACAGCTACATTAACATCTACACCTGCATCTACGTCTACATCAACATCAACAGCGAGACTCACATCTACATCTACATCCACACCTGCATCTACACCTACATCTACATCTTCATCTACATCTACACCTACATCCACATATACACACCTACACCTACAGCTACAGCTACATCCACATCTACACTTTCGCATTGGTTTTGCAGTAGCCTTGCATGTTATGCTATGCTATGCTATGCTAGACTTGGCTATGATATGCTATGTTATGCTGTGCTAATGCTGCGCGGCGCTATGCTGCGCTGCGCTAAGCTAAGGTAAGCTAAGCTATGCTTCGTTGTGCTATGCTATGCTATGCGATGCTGCGCTATGCTATGCTATGCTATGCTGCGCTATGCTATGCTATGTTAGGCTATGCTATTACATGCTATGACGCGATAGGCTATGCTATGCTATGCTATGCTATGCTGTGCTGTGCTATGCGCTGCTATGCTGCGCTGTGCTATGCTAAACAATGCTACGCTATGCTATGCTATGCTACGCTATGCTGCGCTATGCTAGGCTATGCTATGCTGTGCTGTCCTATGCAATGCTGAGCTATGCTATGCTATGCTATGCTATGCTATGCTATGCTATGCTATGCTCGGCTATGCTATGCTATGCTATGCTATGCTAATGCTGCGCTGCGCTGTGCTGTGCTAAGCTAAGGTAAGCTATGCTAAGCTAAGCTAAACCAAGCTAAGCTAAGCTGCTTAGCTAAGCTAAGCCAAGCTAAGCTAAGCCTAGCTGAGCTAAGCTAAGCTAGGCTAGGCAAAGCGGGGGATCCTGGGGGAACCGCGGGGCGGATGCCGGGGGAACCGCCCGGGGCGTAGTCCACTGCCCGGCCCCTTAAGCTTATACGGTAAGAACCCTTCCAGGCAGAGCCTAGGTAGGGAATGAAGTAGGCAGGCGGATGTAGTGGATTGGGTCGAGGTCCTCCCAGAGAATAACAAAACACAGCAAAAGCATGCCGATTCTTGAAGTAGGAAGGCGCTTGAAGTAGATTGGGATCTGGCAGTCCAGGAATACCTACTTTCAACGACTGGCGTGTAATCAACTCTTGAAGGGCAGGTCGCAGCATAAAGGACGTTGAGGAGGATGATGAGGATACTGATGTTGATGTTGATGTTGAGGATGGTGCTGATGATGATGCTGTTGATGATGCTGATGACGGATCGGAAAAAAAGGTGGGAGGAGCATGTGGTCGCAGTCGTAGTAGTAGTAGTAGTAGTAGTAGTAGTAGTAGTAGTAGTAGTAGCAGTAGTAGTACTAGTAGTAGTAGTAGTAGTAGTAGTAGTAGTAGTAGTAGTAGTAGTAGTAGTAGTAGAATCAGTAGTAGTAGTAATGGTAATTGTAGTAACAGTAATTGTAGTAGTCGTAGTGGTAGTAGTAGTAGTAGTAGTAGTAGTAGTAATAGTAGTAGTAGTAGTAGTAGTAATAGTAGTATTAATAGTAGTCGTGCTCGTAGTCGTACTCGTAGTAGTAGTAGTAGTAGTAGTAGTAGTAGTAGTAGTAGTAGTAGTAGTAGTAGTAGTAGTAGTAGTAGTAGTAGTAGTAGTAGTAGTAGTAGTAGTAGTAGTAGTAGTAGTAGTAGTAGTAGTAGTAGTAGTAGTAGTAGTAGTAGTAGTAGTAGTAGTAGTAGTAGTAGTAGTAGTAGTAGTAGTGAAACCGCAGTAGTAGCCGTAGTAGTAAAGTAGTAGTTAGTAGAGTAGTAGTAGTAGTAGTAGTGTAGTAGTAAGTAGTAGTAGTATTAGTAGTAGCAGCAGTAGTAGTAGTAGTAAGTAGTACGTAGTAGTAGTAGTAGTAGTAGTAGTGGTAGTAGTAGTAGTACGAGTAGCAGTAGCAGTAGTAGTAGTCTAGTAATAGTAGCGTATAGTAGTAGTAAGTAGTAGTAGTAGTAAGTAGTGGTGGTGGTAGTAGTAGTAGTAATAGTAGTAGTAGTACGAGTAGTAGTAGAAGTTAGTGGTAGTAGGTAGTAATTAGTGAGTAGTAGTAGTAGTAAGTTCTGAGTAGCAGTAGTAGTAGTAGTTTAAGTAGTAGGTAGTAGTAGTCAGTATTAGTCGTAGTGAGTAAGTAGTAAGTTATTAGTAGTAGTAGCAATGTAGTCGTAGTCCATCGTTACTAGTAAATCAGTAAGTCGTCATAGCAGTTATGATTGGAAGTAGTAGTAGTAGTAGTAGTAGTAGTAGTAGTAGAAGTAGTAGTAGTAGTAGTAGTAGTAGTAGTAGTAGAAGTAGTAGTAGTAGTAGTAGTAGTAGTCGCAGTAGTCGGCGTCGTACTAGTCGTGGTAGTAGTAGTGGTAGTAGTAGTAGTAGTAGCAGCAGCAGTAGTAGTAGTAGTAGTAGTAGTAGTAGTAGTAGTAGTAGTAGTAGTATATAATATAAGCATTCGTAGTGGTGGTAGTAGTAGTAGTCGTCGTCGTCGTCGTCGTGGTAGTTGTATTTATCGTAGTAGTTGCTGTTGTAGGGGAGGGAGGAAGGATGGGGAAGGGAGGGGGGAGGAGGGGGGAGGGAATTCGAAAAAAAGAGTTGCAACAAAATCATCAAAAACCTATCTTGCCAGAGGGGTTTGCAAGTCCTCGTGTGGGGGGGTATCATCTGGGGCATTTCCGGCGATCGTAAAGTAAACCCCGGGAAAAAGTTCGCCCGTGGGGGGGAGGGAACGTAGTAGAGTAGTTGGGGATCATGAGAACAATGATGATGTGATAGTGTTAGTCGTACTCGTAGTCGTAGTCATAGCAGGAGTAGTGGTAGTAGGGGATTCATAGGTAGTAGTAGTAGTAGTAGTAGTAGTAGCTAGTAGTAGTGTAGTAGTAGTAGTAGTAGTAGCACCAGTACTAATAGCAGTCAGCAGTCAGGGTAGTAGTCGCTTAGTAGGTACTCGTAGTAGTATGGTAGTAGTAGGTAGGGTGTAGTAGTAGTAGTCAAGAGTAGTCAAAGTCCTTAGTTAGTAAAGTAGATATGGTAGTCCCCCCACGAGCGTCTTATAGTGACACAGCGCTGTACATTCACACACATATATATATATATATATGTATTCCCATACTTATGTGTTGTATGTGTATATATATACACGTGTATACATAAGTGTGTATGTACACCCTATTTGCACATCCATATGCCTTTCCCCTATGTGTGCATACACCCATGCATACACGTACGTGCATGCATGCATTCACGCCGCCACGCAATCCGAGGCTATTCACGCGACGCTACCCGTGCGGAATCGTCCGGTGGCGACAAAACGCTGATGGCCCCCCTTACTCTCCCCTGCAGCTTCCGTCCACTCTGCCCTGTCTACCTCGTCTCGCACTTCTACCCCTTCGAGGCGTCATTTCCGCGCAAAGACGATGGATGCGCTGCCGGGTGCCACGCGCGCGCACGCGTAACCCCACTGGGCGGCGCCAGCGGCGCCCGCGCGCGCGTGCTCACGGGGGTGCAAAAGCTGACAGGCGGGCGCTCGCAAACCAAGTGGACCTGGTCAGCGGTGCCCGCACGCGGCCGCTTCCGGAAGCGCAAAAGCTGAGAGTCGGGCGTGCGCAACCCAACTGTACTTCGCCAGCGGTAACCGCACGCGCACCCTCGCGAAGCAGCATGCTGACGGTGGGGCGGAGAAATACTAAGGGGGAAAGCCCCCGGCGCTGCCCGCGCGGCCCCCTCAGGGCGAAACCGGAGAGCCGATTTGCCCAAGAAGTCTGCGCTTCTGGAGCGGGAGCAGCAAGGCCCACGAATTCAGACGGACCCAGTCCGCGGGGAGTACCTCGTCCACGGCAACCGCACCCATCGCGCGGACATCCGCCAGCAAGGCGTCTGCCTGCGCGCGGGGTATGCGCGCGTCGGACATGAGGTCGTCGAAGCCGCTCACAGGCGGCACGCCCGCGTCTGCCCCGACCGGCGCAGCGGGCGCCGGGCGGAAAACGCCGACGGCGTCGAACTTTGCCGCCTCCCGGACGATCCACGCGGTCATGCACGGAGCACACGAGAGTACGTCCTGCAAAGAGCCGTCCGACAAGACGGAGGTGAATGGGAACTGCCTCGCGCGGTTCTGCATGTGCCGGATGTCCTCCGCACCCACCTTATTCGTCGTCCCCCAGAGGCCCTCCAGCTTGCCCGTGAAAACGGCGCCGTGGTTCCAGCAGACGTCCTTGTTCCCGTCGTTGAAGGACTGGGAAACCTGGATCTCGGTGTGCTGGCCGACGAACAGAGACAGGAACAAAGAGACGGGGACGGTCTTCTCGTGGGCGAACTCAACCGGCCGGAAGTCGTCCCAGAAGATGAACCGCTTCGTGCCGCTGGCCAGGTTCCGGAGTCCAAAAGGGGAGCCCAAGGCAGGCTTGTGCAGAACCCGTTTCGGAGTGAACAAGTCGTCGAAAGGGTAAACCACCGTGCTCTTCCCGGAATTCGACGGCCCCACCAGGAAGGGCACCCTCGTCGTCTTCTTCGGGCCGACCATCAGAATGTCCCGCAGAGACGCCGCGAGCTCCCGAACGTCGAAAGAAGCGGCGTTGCGGGAGAAGATGGTCTCCACGGCTGACCTGTACGAGCACGCCGGGCCATGGGGACATGTCTCCTCAGCGCAGCGGCACACGAGCGTCCAATCGTCCACCGCCTCGAAGGCCGCGTTCTCGCGGGCAGACGCCCACTCCTTCGTCTCCTCAAGGTCCGCCGTCAGCTTGCGCACTCGGCTGCGGACGAACCGCTGCATGGCCTTCGTCCCGCGGTCCTGGACGTACGCCATCAGGCTGCCCTTCGTCCACAAGTGCTTGGCGATGATGGTCGAGGTCAAGTCTACGAGGTCGAACGTCGTCTTCGTGCCCATCGCCCCGGCCGCCTTGTCCGTGGCCTCCCGGCGCTTCACCCACGCGCCTGCCATGTATGGCTCCTGCGACATCTCGAAGAGGTCGATGGCGTCGTTCTCGCGCGCGAACCCGGCCCAGTCTGGCTGCCACACCCACGGGGCGTCGTCGACATCTGGTTTGGCTGGGGTCTCCATATACCCGTACCTCACGGCGCTCCACATTCGCTGGTGGGAACCAGAGAAATGGCTCGGCAACAAATGGCGCTCACGCAGAGTGCGCTTGGCCTGCTGGAAACGGCCCGACCTAGTCAGCTTCACAGCAACGTGGAAATGGATCGCGCCGTCTTTGTGCTTCTCCTGGAACACCACCGCCATGGACACGAGCGCTTGGCCGTCCGGTTCCTTCCTAGGGCGGCCGCCCGCGGACCCAGTCGGAATCGGATTGTTGAATGCGTCGGCCACTGCTTTTCCGATGTCCTCCCGGCTCATCGTGCCAAGATCGCGGTACTGGCGGCCGTCGGGAAGGGTCGCGTCCAGGACGCGCGATATGGTCACCAAGTAGACCCACTGCAACGAGTCCGGCTTCTCGGCCTCAGCCAACACGGTCTCCAGAGGCGACGCGGCGTCCTGGTCGGGCTGCGTTTCCGAAACGACCTCGGTTGTCAGGCTCTTGAACTCGTGCTTGCGCTGGTCCAAAGCATGCTCTTGCAAACCGAGTTTCAAAGCGACCTGGCGGCGACACTCGCGCAACGAAATGTGTGTTCAAGTCCTTGCCTACTAAGACGGCCTTCAAGGCGTCCCGGATGGCTTTGGTTTCGACGGCCTCGGCGTCCACGCCTGCGGACGGGACTGGGGGAGACGGCACCACGCACCCCGTGTCCGTCTTCTGCCGCAAGCGGCGCCTCGGCATAGAGGGGTCTGTGAGCATTGCAGTGCACGGTACTCCCAGTGACAGGTGCCAAGGTCCGCACGGTTCTCCCTATGAGACTTGAGCCACAAGGCAGCTGCAGTGGTTTTAAGCACCAATGGCCATGAGCACCAGGACGGCTGTGAGCACCACTTCAAAGCCTGAGAGCACCTCAGAGCCCATTAAGTAAGAACGGCTTGAGCCGAAGCGTCTGTGGGCGCTACAAGGCTGGTGATCACCGCAACAGCCTCAGAGCACCACAGAACTCGAAAGGACCTCAGAGCACCGCAACAGCTACAGAGCACCACAGGACGTGAGTCTCAACGTGCCTGCGAGCACCGACTGGTCAGAGGATGGGGGAGGGTGGGGGAGGGAAAGGTATGCCCACCAACTGGACATCGACGACATTCCCAAGACAACCCAAACAGGCGCTGGAACTGCCAAATGGCCCAAGATTGCCCCAAAACCTGTCTGGGTCGGAGCGGGAAAATCGATGCAACTTGTCCCAAGAGTGCAAGCGAGGCCGATTCCCTCTCCCTGAATCCACCGCACTCCGAGGGCTCTGGAAGCGGGGGGCGGAGGGGTGGAGAGGACTTGGGGGTTCTGGAGGGTTCTGGAGGTTTTGGGAAGTCCTCCGAAAAGAGAAAAAGTTTGGGAGGGTTCCGGAGGATTTGGGAGCAGTGCGAGGGTTTCGGATGCATGGGGAGTTGTGGAGGTTTTGGGGGGAGCGCGGAGGGGTTAGAAGGTAGGGGGGGGGGGGTTCTGGAGGGTTTGGAGGTTTTGGGAAGTCTTCCAAAAGTTTAGGGGGTGTGGGGGGGTCCCGGAGGATTTGGGAGCACTGCGATACGAGTTTCGGATGCAAGATGGGGGTGGGGGGGTGGGGGGAGGAGGTATGGGAGGGTTCTGGAGGGTTCTGGAGGTTTTGGGAAGTTTTCTGAAAATGTAGGGGGGGTGGGGGGGTTCCGGAGGATTTGGGAGCAGTGCGAGGGTTTCGGATGCATGGGGGTGGGGGGTGGGGGGAGTGCGGAGGGGTTAGGAGGTATGGGAGGGTTCTGGAGGGTTTTGGAGGTTTTGGGAAGTCTTCCGAAAATTTAGGGGGGGTGGGAGGGTTCCGGAGGATTTGGGAGCAGTGCGAGGGTTTCGGATGCATGGGGAGTTGTGGAGGTTTTAGGGGGAGCGCGGAGGGGTTAGGAGGTATGGGAGGGTTCTGGAGGGTTCTGGAGGTTTTGGGAGGTCTCCAATAGCTTCGTTGTCGATTTCAAGATCGATCTCACGATCAATATCACTATCGATCTCACTGTCGATTCCACGGTCGACCTTAAGATATATCTCAAAATCCACGATCGATCTCAGAATCGAGCTCACGAAATCCGCAGCAAAATCAGTGGGGCGCCGGAACATACGAAGATTGTATAATCGTACAAAACCAATAACATTGCACAGAATCGGACTCTCCAGGTGCTCTCCAGGTGCACTCCCGGTCAAGCGGCCGCCTCGCGACAGGGCGACGCGACCCTGCGGGTGTCTGAAGGGCGATGATAATGGCAATGCCAATGGGGGGAGAGCGGGAGGCAGGGAGGGAGCGCAAGCGGCGGCCCACATTGCCAGGAATCGGTGCTCTCGCCTCCGCGCCGGGCAATCCTTACAAGGGGGCGCGCAGAGTCCTGAGAAGAAAGAAAAAAAAAAAAAAACATAATTTCCCCTTTTAGGACGCCGAATTTCCCACCCGGCTGCCCTGGCCCCCTGGGGGTCCCCCGTTGCAATCTACCCCTGTTGTCCGAAAACAACAAAACAACAAAAAGTTTCGTTTACGTGTCCTTCCCTGCTCCAATTCAATACCCCTCGCAGACTCCGAACCCTCCCTCGGGCAGCAGGGACTACTCCGTCAATCCACAAGAGCAATTAAATCTCTGCGGAAAATCTCGGGAGTGTGTGCTTACCAAGCTTGGGAAGGTAGCGCGCCGTGAATGGGGCTGGGGAAGGTCAGTGCCTGGCCGTAGGCCTTGCCGTAGGCCTTCCGGTCCGGACACGTAATCAAAAAAACGACGGGGGGGGGGAAAGCGTGGCCAGCGCGACGGCGAAAGCACCATTCCGACGTCCACGTGCAACCCTGTGGTACGTAACGGGCCCACAAAGAAAACGGCTCCGACACGAGCGAGGGATCCATGTCCAAACATATTTTCTCGGAGTGTACGCCTGGGGCGTCCGCCGTCGACATGGACGCGGGTCCTGGCGCGGTTCGGTCTGGCCCGGCAAAAGCCTCGGCGCCTGGGCGGGCGTGCGCAAGCCTCCCCGATAGGGAGGAGAGAGGAACACGCTGTGACCAGCGCGACGGCGAGGGTGCCATTCCGACCAGCGACCCGAACACGGCGAACTTCGCCCACGACCCGCGCTCGCGACCCGCGACACGACGCGCGCCCCGCGCCCGCCACCCGTCTACGATCCGTCTGGCCTGGCGGCCCCAACTAGAGCACAACCTAGAGCACAACCTAGAGCACAACCTAGAGCACAACCTAGAGCACAACTCATGAAGGTATATATTTTCATAGAAAAAATGGCACTCAACCTTCCCACATCAAAAAAGAATCAATACTTTCTTTATTTTCGAACGCGAATGCGTGCCAGACTACCATGAAATGAGTTGTGCTCTAGGTTGTGCTCTAGTTGTGCTCTAGTTGTGCTCTAAGGCGGCCCCTGGGATAAGCGGTCGCCTGCCCTCCCCGCCCCCGGACCTTCAATCCGACGGAATTGGCTTTCCTCCGCGTTTGGTAGAAGTGGCATAACGCACCGCCAACAAGTCGCGAAGGCAAGCGCTGTTGGTCGCAGCACCGGCCGCGAGCTCCACGTTGCAAGCGCCGGGCAACGCGCCCTGCCGCCTCCTCCGCCGCGGGCCAGACGCGCGGGCAACGCGTTGCGCGATGTTCTGGACACACGTGCAAACGACATGAAGCCGCAATGATACGCAGGCTGTGTCCCGCGCGGGCCTGCAGCCAGGCCCCGAATTCAACGGACCCAGTCCGCGGGGAGTACCTCGTCCACGGCAACCGCACCCATCGCGCGGACATCCGCCAGCAAGGCGCCTGCCTGTGCGCGTCGGACGTGAGGTCGTCGAAGCCGCTCACAGGCGGCACGCCCGCGTCTGCCCCGACCGGCGCAGCGGGCGCCGGGCGGAAAACGCCGACGGCGTCGACTTTGCCGCCTCCCGGACGATCCACGCGGTCATGCGCGGAGCACACGAGAGTACGTCCTGCAAAGAGCCGTCCGACAAGACAACTGCCTCGCGCGGTTCTGCATGTGCCGGATCTTACAGAAGCTTCAACGGCGCCGTTTCACAAAAATGACACTCAACCTTTCGCAGAAGATAAGGTTCCGGAGTCCAAAGGAGGAGCCCAAGGCAGGCTCTGTGCAGAACCCGTTTCGGAGTGAACAAGTCGTCGCAAGGGTAAACCACCATGCTCTTCCCGGAATTCGACGGCCCCACCAGGAAGGGCACCCTCGTCGTCTTCTCCGGGCCGACCATCAGAATGTCCCGCAGAGACGCCGCGAGCTCCCGAACGTCGAAAGAAGCGGCGTTGCGGGAGAGATGGTCTCCACGGCTGACCTGCACGAGCACGCCGGGCCATGGGGCATGTCTCCTCAGCGCAGCGGCACACGAGCGTCCAATCGTCCACCGCCTCGAAGGCCGCGTTCTCGCGGGCAGACGCCCACTCCTTCGTCTCCTCAAGGTCCGCCGTCAGCTTGCGCACTCGGCTGCGACGAACCGCTGCATGGTCTTCGTCCCGCGGTCCTGGACGTACGCCATCAGACGCGCGGCAACGCGTTGCACGATGTTCTGGACACACGTGCAAACGACATGAAGCCGCATGGGCCGGCTGTTCCCGCGCGGGCCTGCTAAGGCAAACGCGCGTAAAGCGCAGGAGTCGCGAGCACCGCAGGGCCCTCGCCATGGGCAGCCGAGCACCTCCCGAAAGGCAGGGATGGAACAGTAGCAGCACGGCTACGATTTTCAAGTCTACGGATCCACGACACGTTTCTCGGTGCATGCGCTGCGGCAGGAATTCTGAAATCTCTCGGCGGTCACTGAGGAAAAATCCGCTCTGGCAGAGGCCGAGCCGCCGATTCGGCTGGCTCCCCGGCCGCGGCTGGAAAATTGCGTCGTGGCAAAGACCGTGCCGCCGACTCGGCTGATCAGCGCCAACGCTCCCGGGCCGCAGGCTCAATCGCTCGGGATCCTGCCTCCCTCGGCCACGACGACCTCCGCCGCCTTCGTCTTCATCTTAGCCACGGCTGCCCTGATGACGCTCTTCGGGATGCCCATGGCGACGCGCCTGAGGCGCGCCTTGTAAGCGCTCTGAGACTCGTTGGCCGGCGCGCTCTGCTCTGCCATTCGCCGGTTGACCTCCGCCCAGAGGAAGTAGTCGAGGGGGTTCAAGTCCGGGGAATACTTGGGGAACTTGATGGGGGTGATCTTGAGCCCCGCCTGAGAGCGACCGAGCGGGGTCGACCGGGGCGCGAGCGGCGGGCGATCAAGAGCGGGCGCCGACTGGCGGGGCGATCGCCAGACGGGGCCCGACTCGAACTCGCGGCCGCCGCGGTGGCGCGCCAACTAAGGGGGCCGCTTGCAGTCAACGGCCTTCTTGCTCTTGTACCCCGTGGGGTCGTTATCCTCCAGGATGCGGAAGGCGCGGCGCCCCTTCCGGCAACGGCGAAGCGCGGGGGCGAGGACGCCCGCGTAGAAATCGCAGGCTGCGTCGGCGCACCACAGGGTGGGCAGGTAGTGCCAGACGCGGACCTTGTTGTTCACGATGGCTGCGGCCACGTGAACCTTGGCGCCTGGGTTCACCCTGTTCCGGTTCCCCTTCGGCTTCGTGAAAGGCTTGAGGACCTCGGGGGAGGGCCCGGCCAGCCGGCCCCCCGCCCGGCCCCCCCCCCCGCCCCTCGCATCCGAAAGAAACTACGCCAATAAGAACCCTCATGCCAGAAAGAAACGACGCCAAGAAAAACATGTCCGATCGCCTGGACGGGGCCGATCAGACCCGATCAGACTTGGATCGCAGACATGGATCGGGGCAACGATCGGGGGCGGAATCGGCATCTCGACTTCGGCGGCCCGGCGGCCCCCGCCCCCAGCCCCTGGGATCGCACTCGGGACCGAGAGTCGCGCCCCCTCTGCCTTGGTGCGAAGGTGGCCGCGAACGCGACTCTTCTTTGCGTGCGTATTCGCCCGCTTGGTCATGGGGATGGGGAACACCTTATTGTCGATGATGGCATCGACCTGGTGCGTGAAATAGTTGCCCGGGAGCCGCTCCACCCCGAACGCGCGGCCACGCGCTCCTCCGCCTCCGCGGAGCCGCGGAGCGGCTCCGCGCGGGGAGCGCGCCAGGTGACCCCGAGGCGCTTGAAGTGCCTGGAGGCCGTGCCCTTGTGGACGTCGGAGACCCGCGCGGCCTTCATCACGTCCTTGAGGTGAACCTCGGCCTCGCCCTTGGCCGCCCGAATCAAACGAACCCGCGCGTTGTTCAAGGCGCGGAGCTTGACGGCCGTGAGCTTGGGCTTGCGGCCGCGAGTCTCCGCTGGGCCACGCCTGTGCGTGGCGCCCCGGAGGGCCCGGCGGACGGTCGTCAAATCCGGCCCAGTCTCGTCGAGGGACTCACGGGTCCGACTAACGAGGTCGCGTATCTCCACCGGGGTCTTCCCAGCGGCGTAGAGCGAGAAGCAGCGGTCGAGCTCCCTCTTGCTGAGGTGGGGCGCCATCTGGGCCCGCGACCGAAAAAGGGGTCAGATGGCCTCGGGGCGGGGCGAGGCCGTTGCTGCGGTGACGACTGAGCCGAAACAGCTGCGCCAGGTGAACGGAAGGCTTGTCGATGTGACCGGAGCACGCGGCGGCGTTCATAGTCTGGCGTCGCTCTTGACGCCGCCCTCAAGACGGGCGGCTTCGGGCAGCCTCAAAGTCCTTGCAGGGCGCCAACGGGAGAGCGCAACCCGTTGGGCAGCGGGGAGGGGGCCAGTCTTGCACGCAACCCATGCAGATGCCCGTAGCCGAAGATGCCATGGCAAATGAGTCCGCCGTTTGCGAAATAAACGCCCACGTGTGGAAGTACCGAGATCCCCGCCCCGCGCCCCGCATTTCAATGTTGGCCACCGAACACGCCGAAGGGGAGTGCGAAGCGTTGCGAAATAAACGCCCACTTATGTTGGACTGACCAGCCCTCCCCGTCAACCTTGAAATGCGGGGGAAAGGGGGCGTGCTTCGACGTCTTGTTTTCGATCCCTAAGATGGGCGCTTATTTCGCAAACGGCGGTACCCCCCACGAGCGTCTTATAGTGACACAGCGCTGTACATTCACATATATATGTATTCCCATATTTATATGTTGTATGTGTATATATATGTATATATATACACGTGTATACATAAGTGTGTATGTACACCCTATTTGCACATCCATATGCCTTTCCCCTATGTGTGCATACACCCATGCATACACGTACGTGCATGCATGCATTCACGCCGCCACGCAATTCGAGGCTATTCACGCGACGCTACCCGTGCGGAATCGTCCGGTGGCGACACAACGCTGATGGCCCCCCTTACTCTCCCCTGCAGCTTCCGTCCACTCTGCCCTGTCTACCTCGTCTCGCACTTCTACCCCTTCGAGGCGTCATTTCCGCGCAAAGACGATGGATGCGCTGCCGGGTGCCACGCGCGCGCACGCGTAACCCCACTGGGCGGCGCCAGCGGCGCCCGCGCGCGCGTGCTCACGGGGGTGCAAAAGCTGACAGGCGGGCGCTCGCAAACCAAGTGGACTTGGTCAGCGGTGCCCGCGCGCGCGTGCTTCCGGAAGCGCAAAAGCTGAGAGCGGGCGTGCGCAACCCAACTGGACTTCGCCAGCGGTAACCGCACGCGCACCCTCGCGAGCATGCAAAAGACGTGGGGCGGAGCGCTGGGGGGAAGCCCCCGGCGCTGCCCGCGCGCCCCCTCAGGGCGAAACCGGAGAGCCATTTTGCCCAAGAAGTCTGCGCTTCTGGAGCGGGAGCAGCAAGGCCCACGAATTCAGACGGACCCAGTCCGCGGGGAGCACCTCGTCCACGGCAACCGCACCCATCGCGCGGACATCCGCCAGCAAGGCGTCTGCCTGCGCGCGGGGTATGCGCGCGTCGGACATGAGGTCGTCGAAGCCGCTCACAGGCGGCACGCCCACGTCTGCCCCGACCGGCGCAGCGGGCGCCGGGCGGAAAACGCCGACGGCGTCGAACTTTGCCGCCTCCCGGACGATCCACGCGGTCATGCACGGAGCACACGAGAGTACGTCCTGCAAAGAGCCGTCCGACAAGACGGAGGTGAATGGGAACTGCCTCACGCGGTTCTGCATGTGCCGGATGTCCTCCGCACCCACCGTATTCGTCGTCTCCCAGAGGCCCTCCAGCTTGCCCGTGAAAACGGCGCCGTGGTTCCAGCAGACGTCCTTGTTCCCGTCGTTGAAGGACTGGGAAACCTGGATCTCGGCGTGCTGGCCGACGAACAGAGACAAGGAACAAAGAGACGGGGACGGTCTTCTCGTGGGCGAACTCAACCGGCCGGAAGTCGTCCCAGAAGATGAACCGCTTCGTGCCGCTGGCCAGTTTCCGGAGTCCAAAGGAGGAGCCCAAGGCAGGCTTGTGCAGAACCCGTTTCGGAGTGAACAAGTCGTCGAAAGGGTAAACCACCGTGCTCTTCCCGGATTTCGACGGCCCCACCAGGAAGGGCACCCTTGTCGTCTTCTTCGGGCCGACCATCAGAATGTCCCGCAGAGACGCCGCGAACTCCCGAACGTCGAAAGAAGCGGCGTTGCGGGAGAAGATGGTCTCCACGGCTGACCTGTACGAGCACGCCGGGCCATGGGGGCATGTCTCCTCAGCGCAGCGGCACACGAGCGTCCAACCGTCCACCGCCTCGAAGGCCGCGTTCTCGCGGGCAGACGCCCACTCCTTCGTCTCCTCAAGGTCCGCCGTCAGCTTGCGCACTCGGCTGCGGACGAACCGCTGCATGGCCTTCGTCCCGCGGTCCTGGACGTGCGCCATCAGGCTGTCCTTCGTCCACAAGTGCTTGGCGATGATGGTCGAGGTCAAGTCTACGAGGTCGAACGTCGTCTTCGTGCCCGTCGCCCCGGCCGCCTTGTCCGTGGCCTCCCGGCGCTTCACCCACACGCCTGCCACGCATGGCTCCTGCGACATCTCGAAGAGGTCGATGGCGTCGTTCTCGCGCGCGAACCCGGCCCAGTCTGGCTGCCACACCCACGGGGCGTCGTCGACATCTGGTTTGGCTGGGGTCTCCATATACCCGTACCTCACGGCGCTCCACATTCGCTGGTGGGAACCAGAGAAATGGCTCGGCAACAAATGGCGCTCACGCAGAGTGCGCTTGGCCTGCTGGAAACGGCCCGACCTAGTCAGCTTCACAGCAACGTGGAAATGGATCGCGCCGTCTTTGTGCTTCTCCTGGAACACCACCGCCATGGACACGAGCGCTTGGCCGTCCGGTTCCTTCCTAGGGCGGCCGCCCGCGGACCCAGTCGGAATCGGATTGTTGAATGCGTCGGCCACTGCTTTTCCGATGTCCTCCCGGCTCATCGTGCCAAGATCGCGGCACTGGCGGCCGTCGGGAAGGGTCGCGTCCAGGACGCGCGATATGGTCACCAAGTAGACCCACTGCAACGAGTCCAGCTTCTCGGCCTCAGCCAACACGGTCTCCAGAGGCGACGCGGCGTCCTGGTCGGGCTGCGTTTCCGAAACGACCTCGGTTGTCAGGCTCTTGAACTCGTGCTTGCGTTGGTCCAAAGCATGCTCTTGCAAACCGAGTTTCAAAGCGACCTGGCGGCGACACTCACGCAACGAAATGTGTTTCAAGTCCTTGCCTACTAAGACGGCCTTCAAGGCGTCCCGGATGGCTTTGGTTTCGACGGCCTCGGCGTCCACGCCTGCGGACGGGACTGGGGGAGACGGCACCACGTACCCCGTGTCCGTCTTCTGCCGCAAGCGGCGCCTCGGTATAGAGGGGTCTGTGGGCATTGCAGTGCACGGTACTCCCAGTGACAGGTGCCAAGGTCCGCACGGTTCTCCCTATAAGACTTGAGCCACAAGGCAGCTGCAGTGGTTTTAAGCACCAATGGCCATGAGCACCACGACGGCTGTGAGCACCACTTCAAAGCCTGAGAGCACCTCAGAGCCCATTAAGTAAGAACGGCTTGAGCCGAAGCGCCTGTGGGCGCTACAAGGCTGGCGATCACCGCAACAGCCTCAGAGCACCACAGAACTCGAAAGGACCTCAGAGCACCGCAACAGCTACAGAGCACCACAGGACGTGAGTCTCAACGTGCCTGCGAGCACCGACTGGTCAGAGGAAGGGGGAGGGAGGGGGAGGGAAAGGTATGCCCACCAACTGGACATCGACGACATTCCCAAGACAACCCAAATAGGCGCTGGAACTGCCAAATGGCCCAAGATTGCCCCAAAACCTGTCTGGGTCGGAGCGGGAAAACCGATGCAACTTGTCCCAAGAGTGCAAGCGAGGCCGATTCCCTGTCCCCCTGAATCCACCGCACTCCGAGGGCTCTGGAAGCGGGGGGCGGAGGGGTGGAGAGGACTTGGGGGTTCTGGAGGGTTCTGGAGGTTTTGGGAAGTCCTCCGAAAGTAGAAAGAGTTTGGGAGGGTTCCGGAGGATTTGGGAGCAGTGCGAGGGTTTCGGATGCATGGGGAGTTGTGGAGGTTTTGGGGGGAGCGCGGAGGGGTTAGAAGGTAGGGGGGGGTTCTGGAGGGTTTGGAGGTTTTGGGAAGTCTTCCAAAAGTTTAGGGGGTGTGGGAGGGTTCCGGAGGATTTGGGAGCAGTGCGAACGAGGGTTTCGGATGCATGGGGGTGGGGGGTGGGGGGAGGAGGTATGGGAGGGTTCTGGAGGGTTCTGGAGGTTTTGGGAAGTCTTCTGAAAATTTAGGGGGGTTGGGAGGGTTCCGGAGGATTTGGGAGCAGTGCGAGGGTTTCGGATGCATGGGGGTGGGGGGTGGGGGGAGTGCGGAGGGGTTAGGAGGTATGGGAGGGTTCTGGAGGGTTCTGGAGGTTTTGGGAAGTCTTCCGAAAATTTAGGGGGGGTGGGAGGGTTCCGGAGGATTTGGGAGCAGTGCGAGGGTTTCGGATGTATGGGGAGTTGTGGAGGTTTTAGGGGGAGCGCGGAGGGGTTAGGAGGTATGGGAGGGTTCTGGAGGGTTCTGGAGGTTTTGGGAGGTCTCCAATAGCTTCGCTGTCGATTTCAAGATCGATCTCACGATCAATATCACTATCGATCTCACTGTCGATTCCACGGTCGACCTTAAGATATATCTCAAAATCCACGATCGATCTCAGAATCGAGCTCACGAAATCCGCACCAAATTCAGTGGGGCGCCGGAACATACGAAGATTGTATAATCGTACAAAACCAATAACATTGCACAGAATCGGACTCTCCAGGTGCTCTCCAGGTGCACTCCCGGTCAAGCGGCCGCCTCGCGACAGGGCGACGCGACCCTGCGGGTGTCTGAAGGGCGATGATAATGGCAATGCCAATGGAGGGAGAGCGGGAGGCAGGGAGGGAGCGCAAGCGGCGGCCCACATTGCCAGGAATCGGTGCTCTCGCCTCCGCGCCGGGCAATCCTTACAAGGGGGCGCGCAGAGTCCTGAGAAGAAAAATCAAAAAAAGGCCATAATTTCCCCTTTTTAGGACGCCGAATTTTCCACCCGGCTGCCCTGGCCCCCTGGGGGTCCCCCGTTGCAATCTACCCTTGCTGTCCGAAAACAACAAAAAAACAAAAAAGTTTCGTTTACGTGTCCTTCCCTGCTCCAATTCAATACCCCTCACAGACTCCGAACCCTCCCTCGGGCAGCAGGGACTACTCCGTCAATCCACAAGAGCAATTAAATCTCTGCGGAAAATCTCGGGAGCGTGTGCTTACCAAGCTTGGGAAGGTAGCGCGCCGTGAATGGGGCTGGGGAAGGTCAGTGCCTGGCCGTAGGCCTTCCGGTCCGGACACGTAATCAAAAAAAACGGCGGGGGGGGGGAAAGCGTGGCCAGCGCGACGGCGAGAGCACCATTCCGACGTCCACGTGCAACCCTGTGGTACGTAACGGGCCCACAAAGAAAACGGCTCCGACACGAGCGAGGGATCCATGTCCAAACATATTTTCTCGGAGTGTACGCCTGGGGCGTCCGCCGTCGACATGGGCGCGGGCCCTGGCGCGGTTCGGTCTGGCCCGGCAAAAGCCTCGGCGCATGGGCGGGCGCGCGCAAGCCTCCCCGATAGGGAGGGGAGAGGAATAACACGCTGTGACCAGCGCGACGGCGAGGTCGCCATTCCGACCAGCGACCCGAACACGGCGAACTTCGCCCACGACCCGCGCTCGCGACCTGCGACACGACGCGCGCCCCGCGCCCGCCACCCGTCTACGATCCGTCTGGCCCGGCGGCCCCAACTAGAGCACAACCTAGAGCACAACCTAGAGCACAACTCATGAAGGTATATTTTTTCATAGAAAAAATTGCACTCAACCTTCCCAAATCAATAGAGAATCAATACTTTCTTTATTTTCGAACGCGAATGCGTGCCAGACTACCATGAAATGAGTTGTGCTCTAGGTTGTGCTCTAGGTTGTGCTCTAGTTGTGCTCTTGTTGGGCTCTAAGGCGGCCCCTGGGATAAGCGGTCGCCTGCCCTCCCCGCCCCCGGACATTCAATCCGACGGAATTGGCTTTCCTCCGCGTTTGGTAGGAATGGCATAACGCACCGCCAACAAGTCACGAAGGCAAGCGCTGTTGGTCGCAGCGCCGGCCGCGAGCTCCACGTTGCAAGCGCCGGGCAACGCGCCCTGCCGCCTCCTCCGCCGCGGGCCAGACGCGCGGGCAACGCGTTGCACGATGTTCTGGACACACGAGCAAACGACATGAAGCCGCAATGATACGCAGGCTGTGTCCCGCGCGGGCCTGCACTAAGGCAAACGCGCGTAAAGCGCATGAGTCGCGAGCACCGCAGGGCCCTCGCCATGGGCAGTCGAGCGCCCCCCGAAAGGCAGGGATGGAACAGTAGCAGCACGGCTACGATTTTCAAGTCTACGGATCCACGACGCGTTTCTCGGTGCATGCGCTGCGGCAGGAATTCTGAAATCTCTCGGCGGTCACTGAGGAAAAATCCGCTCTGGCAGAGGCCGAGCCGCCGATTCGGCTGGCTCCCCGGCCGCGGCTGGAAAAATTGCGTCGTGGCAAAGACCGTGCCGCCGACTCGGCTGATCAGCGCCAACGCTCCCGGGCCGCAGGCTCAATCGCTCGGGGTCCTGCCTCCCTCGGCCACGACGACCTCCGCCGCCTTCGTCTTCATCTTAGCCACGGCTGCCCTGATGACGCTCTTCGGGATGCTCATGGCGACGCGCCTGAGGCGCGCCTTGTAAGCGCTCTGAGACTCGTTGGCCGGCGCGCTCTGCTCTGCCATGCGCCGGTTGACCTCCGCCCAGAGGAAGTAGTCGAGGGGGTTCAAGTCCGGGGAATACTTGGGGAACTTGATGGGGGTGATCTTGAGCCCCCGCCTGAGAGCGACCGAGCGGGGCCGACCGGGGCGCGAGCGGCGGGCGAGCAAGAGCGGGCGCCGACTGGCGGGGCGATCGCCAGACGGGGCCCGGCTCGAACTCGCGGCCGCCGCGGTGGCGCGCGAACTAAGGGGGCCGCTTGCAGTCAACGGCCTTCTTGCTCTTGTACCCCCTGGGGTCGTTATCCTCCAGGATGCGGAAGGCGCGGCGCCCCTTCCGGCAACGGCGAAGCGCGGGAGCGAGGACGCCCGCGTAGAAATCGCAGGCTGCGTCGGCGCACCACAGGGTGGGCAGGTAGTGCCAGACGCGGACCTTGTTGTTCACGATGGCTGCGGCCACGTGAACCTTGGCGCCTGGGTTCACCCTGTTCCGGTTCCCCTTCGGCTTCGTGAAAGGCTTGAGGACCTCGGGGGAGGGCCCGGCCAGCCGGCCCCCCGCCCGGCCCCCCCCCGCCCCTCGCATCCGAAAGAAACTACGCCAATAAGAACCCTCATACCAGAAAGAAACGACGCCAAGAAAAACATGTCCGATCGCCTGGACGGGGCCGATCAGACCCGATCAGACTTGGATCGCAGACATGGATCGGGGCAACGATCGGGGGCGGAATCGGCATCTCGACTTCGGCGGCCCGGCGGCCCCCGCCCCGCCCCCAGCCCATGCGATCGCACTCGGGGCCGAGAGTCGCGCCCCCTCTGCCTTGGTGCGAAGGTGGCCGCGAACGCGACTCTTCTTCGCGTGCGTCTTCGCCCGCTTGGTCATGGGGATGGGGGACACCTTATTGTCGATGATGGCGTCGACCTGGTGCGTGAAATAGTTGCCCGGGAGCCGCTTCCACCCCGAACGCACGGCCACGCGCCCCCCCGCCTCCGCGGAGCCGCGGAGCGGCTCCGCGCGGGGAGCGCGCCAGGTGACCCCGAGGCGCTTGAAGTGCCTGGAGGCCGTGCCCTTGTGGACGTCGGAGACCCGCGCGGCCTTCATCACGTCCTTGAGGTGAACCTCGGCCTCGCCCTTGGCCGCCCGAATCAAACGAACCCGCGCGTTGTTCAAGGCGCGGAGCTTGACGGCCGTGAGCTCGGGCTTGCGGCCGCGAGTCTCCGCTGGGCCACGCCTGTGCGTGGCGCCCCGGAGGGCCCGGCGGACGGTCGTCAAATCCGGCCCAGTCTCGTCGAGGGACTCACGGGTCCGACTAACGAGGTCGCGTATCTCCACCGGGGTCTTCCCAGCGGCGTAGAGCGAGAAGCAGCGGTCGAGCTCCCTCTTGCTGAGGTGGGGCGCCATCTGGGCCCGCGACCGAAAAAGGGGTCAGATGGCCTCGGGGCGGGGCGAGGCCGTTGCTGCGGTGACGACTGAGCCGAAACAGCTGCGCCAGGTGAACGGAAGGCTTGAAGTGACCGGAGCACGCGGCGGCGTTCATAGTCTGGCGTCGCTCTTGACGCCGCCCTCAAGACGGGCGGCTTCGGGCAGCCTCAAAGTCCTTGCAGGGCGCCAACGGGAGAGCGCAACCCGTTGGGCAGCGGGGAGGGGGCCAGTCGCGCAACGCAACCCATGCAGATGCCCGTAGCCGAAGATGCCATGGTAAACGCCCACGTGTGGAAGTACCGAGATCCCCGCCCCGCGCCCCGCATGTCAATGTTGGCCACCGAACGCGCCGAAGGGGAGTGCGAAGCGTTGCGGAATAAACGCCCGCTTATGTTGGACTGCCCAGCTCTCCCCGTGAACCTTGAAATGCGGGGGAAAGGGGGCGTGTTTCGTCGTCTTGCTTTCGATCCCTAAGATGGGCGCTTATTTCGCAAACGGCGGTAGTACAACAAATAATGAAACAATCTATATAGTCAAGCATAGTGAAAATATCAAAACTTGGTCAAATAATGGGAGAAGTTTTCAAACATAGTCAACACATAGTCTGTGTTCGATAATTTGTTCGACTATGTTTGAGCATGTTCGTTCATCTTGTGGTATGATTCCCTACCTAGGCTCTGCCTAGAAGGGTTCTTACTCTCTAGTTTCAAGGGGCCGGGCAGTGGAAAGCGCCCCGGGCGGTTCCCCCAGCCCCCGCCCCGTGGTTCCCCCAGTCGCGCCCCCTGGGTTCACCCAGCTTAGCTTAGCTTAATCTAGCTTAGCTTAGCTTAGATTAGCTTAGCTTAGCTTTGATTATCTCATCATAGCTTAGCTTAGCTTTGCCTAGCCTAGCCTAGCCTAGCCTAGCCTAGCCTAGCTTAGCTTAGCTTATCTAGTTTTAGCTTAGCTTAGCTTAGCTTGGCTTAGCTTTGCTGAGCTTAGACTAGCCTAGCTTAGCTTAGTTTAGCTTAGCTTAACATAGCTTACCTTAGCTTAGCTTAGCGCAGCATAGCGCAGCGCAGCATTAACACTGCATATCATAGCCAATCATAGCATAACATATCATAGCATAGCTCAGCATAGCATAGCAGACCATATCATAGCATATCATAGCGCATCATAGCATAGCATAGCATAGCATGCTTATCATAGCACAGCGCAGCATATCAAATCATATCACAGCACACCATAGCATAGCATATCATATCATAGCGCATCACAGCATAGCATATCATAGCATAGCGCAGCATACCATAGCATATCATAGCATAGCATTGCTTAGCATAGCACGGTGCAGCATCGCATAGCATAGCACATCATACCATAGCATATCATAGCGCAGCATATCATAGCATAGCATAGCATATCATACCATATCATATTATATCATATCATAGCGCAGTCTAGCATACCATAGCTTGGCCTAGCATAGCATATCATATCATCGACTAGCAGAGCATAACAGCATACCTAGCGTAGATGTAGATGCAGGTGTAGATGTAAATGTAGCTGTCGGTGTAGATGTAGATGTTGCTTTCCTAAATGCTCCAACTCCTAGGTAGGGTCGCACTGGGATGCTGTATGTGCCCGTGCTATGTTGTATGTTGTGGTATGTTTTTTTCGTCCAGCATCCGCCTGTAGGGGGGACATGCTCAACCTAAAACGAGCCTAATAAGCGCACTCGTTTCTGTGGACCCCCTCTCCAGCCTTTGAATTTCCCTCCGCCGATGCACAACGACTACGGAATAATGCGAAATGGGCACTTGAATCACACATGCTTGCCCTAATTTTGAAAGTTCCCACGTTTCTAGAGAGTTCTCGGCCACCCTGGGTTTTCAATATTTCGGGCGGTGACCGTTGATCGGGCGAACGCTATTTCAAATAACAACACATCTCACGATTGCACGAAGAGGCAGACAGCCACCTCCCTCTTCCCGCCTCCCATCCTCCACGGGCAGGGTGGTGGGCAGGATATGGTCAGGGACGGTGTGCGATACCGAATGTTGTCGCCGAGGCTGCTGTTCGGCGCCTTCAGGCCATGGCCCTCCCTGTGGGCTTGAGCTCGCGCGACGCTCCTCCTCCAACGAGGCTGGAATCACTAGCTTTGAATTCACCGCGAATCCGAATACGAATCCCTCACACTCCTGCTCCTCCTCCTCATCCTCCTCCGCGACCTCCCACCCCCTCCTCCACGACCTTCCTCCTCCCTCCGCCTCGACGTCCCTCCCCCCCTCCTCCACAGCATCCCTCCTCCCGCCCCCCCCCTGCCATCGGCGCCCGTTCCGATCTTCCAGGATGGCCCCCCAGAGGGGACGGTGGCCACGCCGTGTGGTGAGTCTGTGTGTGTGTGTGTTTGTGTCTGTGTCTGTGTCTGTGTCTGTGTCTGTGTCTGTGTCTGTGTCTGTGTCTGTGTCTGTGTCTGTGTCTGTGTCTGTGTCTGTGTCTGTGTCTGTGTCTGTGTCTGTCTGTGTGTGTGTGTGTCTGTGTGTGTGTGTCTGTGTGTCTGTGTCTGTGTCTGTGTCTGTGTCTGTGTGTGTGTCTGTGTCTGTGTCTGTGTCTGTGTCTGTGTCTGTGTCTGTCTGTGTCTGTGTCTGTGTCTGTGTCTGTGTCTGTGTCTGTGTCTGTGTCTGTGTCTGTGTCTGTGTCTGTGTCTGTGTCTGTGTCTGTGTGTCTGTCTGTCTGTCTGTCTGTGTCTGTGTCTGTGTCTGTCTGTGTCTGTGTCTGTGTCTGTGTCTGTGTCTGTCTGTCTGTGTCTGTGTCTGTGTCTGTGTCTGTGTCTGTGTCTGTGTCTGTGTCTGTGTCTGTGTCTGTGTCTGTGTCTGTGTGTGTGTGTGTCTGTGTCTGTGTCTGTGTCTGTGTCTGTGTGTGTGTGTCTGTGTCTGTGTCTGTGTCTGTGTGTGTGTCTGTGTCTGTGTCTGTGTCTGTGTCTGTGTCTGTGTCTGTGTCTGTGTCTGTGTCTGTGTCTGTGTCTGTGTTCGGGGTGGCCGCACGGCCTTGGGATTTGGGCCGCTCTCCGAGGCTGTGCCAGGCGACGGGCTTCTGGGGTTCCAGGGCCGTGCGGTGACGGACTGTGCGGTGACGTCTTTAGGGATCTCGGGATCACCGCACGGTCTGTCGCCGCTCCGCTGTGGGAGCCCCAAGAAAGGCTCGGGGCGTTCCTGCGAGTCGGGCGTGCAGTCCTCTCCCCCTTCTCTCTGATATGGCATCGTCGTTGGTCCCGTCCCCGTTCCGTTCCCACGTCCGTCCGCCCCTCCCCTCCATCCGAAGAAGACACGTCGGCATAAACATACATTGTCGTAGGGCCGCGCGGTATTCTTGGATCGGCGTTGGAGCCCCGGAGTTCTGGGCCCAGCAAGGCTTCCAGTGGACGATCAGTTTCAAAAACCGTCCGTCATGGTCTTTCGTTCACGATGAGAGGAGTTCTGGGCTCGCTTCCTCCTCCTCATCCTCCTCCATCCTCGATCCTTCGATCCTCCTACTCGATCCTCCTCCTCCTCCTCCTCGATCCCCCTCCTCGATCCTCGATTCTTCTCCTCCTCGGTTCTCGACCCGTCTCCCCCCCCTTCTCGGCAGGCGCTCGAGCGCAGGCTGGACCCCCCGACGGCGGTGGCCGCGGCGGCAGAGCCTGGGTCGCCAAGGTCGTGGCGCTCGCCGCGGCCTCTCGCCGCCGCCGCAGCCTTCGCCGTTGCTGCCGCTTCGTGCTCCTCCGTCCTCCATCCTCTTCCTCCTCCTCCTCCTCCTCCTCCTCCTCCTTCTCCTCCTCTATCCTCCAGCCTCCTCCTCCATGCTCCAGCCTTCTCCTCCTCCTCCTTCCCCATCCTCCAGCCTGCGTCTCCTCCTCCTCCTCATCCTCCTCCTCCTCCAGCCTCCTCTTCCATGCTCCAGTCTTCTCCTCCTCCTCCTCCTCCTCCTCCTCCTCATCCTCCTCCCCCCTTCTCCTCCTCCTCCGTCGTCCCCCTCCTTCTCTTCCTCCCCTCCTCCTCCTCCTCCTCCTCCTCCTCCTCTCCTCCTCCTCTCCTCCTCCTCCTCCTCCTCCTCCTCCATTCCTCCAGCCCCAGCCTCCAGCCTCCTCCCCCCCCTCCTCCCGCCATCCCTCCCTCCCTCCCTCCCTCCCCCTCCTCCTCCTGCTCCTCCTCCTCATCCTCCTCCTCGTTCTCCTCCTCCTCCTCCTCCTCCTCCTCCTCCTCCTCCGTCCTTTTCCTTCTCATCCGTCCCTCCACGCTCGTCGCTCACATCGCCCCCCACCCTTGTTCTACTCGCCCCCCGCCTCATCCTTCCCGTGTTCCTCTGTGGGTACTCGGCACCGCCCGCCGTCCCACGCCCCATCTTTCCCGCCGCTCCCGCCACCTTCGTCATCGCCATCCTCCTCGTCACGCCTGCTTCTCTTGGCCACGGCAGGCTCGCGTCTCGTCGGCCGGCGGCGACCTTGCCGCCAGCGTGCAACGTCAAGCGCCACCTGCGGCCCAGAGTCGGTCGATGTCGAACGGTCCGACGTGTCGGGAACGGTTGACCGTTCAAGGCGGAACGATCTCCGCGGTGTCAGGAACCCACCCTGGAGTCGGCGCGGCACGAGCCTGCCGTACAGTATCTTCCTGGGTCATCCCTGTCTACCTCCGCCGCCGCCTCCCTGTTGTCCCACTCCCTCCTCGATCCTCCCACCCGACCGCCCTTCCCTCAACCTTCAATCAAAGAACAACGAATTGTTGACATAGATATTATGTTTGGCAGGTCCGCGCGGCGTTCATCGAGGCTGGACCCCCCGCCCTGGCCCAGTCCGCGCGCGCAGCGGCGGCGGCTCCGCTGGCGGAAGCAAAAAGCTGCCCTCCAAGAAATAAGCATGTTTTAATTCAGGGTTTCTGGAACGAGCCCTCCAGAGGTCTCGACCCGTCCCCCTGGCTGACTCTTCAGCCAGAGCTGTTTTTTTTTTATCCAGCTGCCTG